ATTTTATCTGGATCTAGGAGACAAAAACAATTGAGAGGAATTAATGCCAATGGTGAGGCTCATTGCACAAAGAAAATCAAAAGAAATCGAAAGAATTCTTTCTATTTGTCTAGATTTCCTTTAAGTTTCTTCATGCAATGAACCTAACCATTGCCATTCCTCGAAAGGTCTCAAGGAAAAATTAGGGTTTGTTTGTGAGAGACTGAAGAAGACATGAACCAATAGTGTGCTTTATATACACACGAGAGGATAATGCCTAAAGGTCATAAGAAGAGGATTTGGAGAGGATAACGACGAAAGGTCATAAGAAGAGGATTTGGAGATAGAGATGTGACCATATAAGCTGAGGTGTTAGGTGATAGATGGAGAGAGAATCTGAGAAATTATGGATAAATGGAGAGAGAATCTGAGGTGTTAGGTGACCAATAAAATTAGTTTCGGATTGGACTCAATATCAACTTTTGAAGGCTATTAAATCTAAAAATGAATTGTTTCTCTCAAATATGAGATTTAAATAAGTATGATACTAGATAAAATACCATGTTTCGCGCCTAATGTTTAAAATTATTGTGTGACTCAAAATTATATAAAAGAATATGAATATATATTTAATTAGGCAAAACTCTACATTTCCCGCGTAATTTTTGAAAATTTCATATGATTTAGAAATATATAAAGAAACACGAATATATACTTAGTTCAGCAAAAAACTGTATTTCACACGTGAAATTTTAAATTATCTTTTAACTCAAAATTATATAAAGCCTGACTACATGTATATTTTATAAGGTAAAATTACGTATTTTGTGCCAAAAATATTTATGTATATGTATTTTTGTTGAAGATTCAACCGACTTTTTGTCATAATCATATCAGTTACTATTGATACAGTCCTAACATTTATATATATGAAAATGTTATAATGTAGTGTAAAATATGAATATATAAAAAAAAATCATATAAAGATATTGGTAACTGTAAAAATATATATATGAACCAGATAAAACACCAATCAATATTTCGATACATTTTTAAAATTCACTAGATTTGTAGGAATGGTTAGTTTTTCAAATTAATATTTTTTTCCTTTATAACAATATACTCTTATATATATGCAAAAGGAAATTTTTATTTTGGGAATGACTTAGTGTATTTGACTACATAAAAAAAAAATTCAATTGTGACCAAAAGAAAAAAAAATTTCAATTTGTATTAAAATCAATCAATTGATAAAGATGGAAAACCAGAGAAAGCTATATGTGTGTGTATATCCAAGAAAATGAACAAAATTTTAGATGAAGAATTCGACCCAAGAAAAGGCCAAGAACACTAACATAGACATTAGCTACGTTTGTATGTTTTGATAGAAAATAATGAAAGAAGCGTAAGAGGAAAGATTTAGTGATAATAAAAATGGTTGTGTTGTGAACTTGAAAAATATGTATTTGACTCGGATTTTACCGATGACAAATGTTCCACAATGTCAGTGGTAGATAATTTGCTTCGTCATTTTCAGAAATCGATATGAACAACTACGTCCATAGAGACTCAGGTTTGCGGTCAGTCGCACCCACACGGATCATATCAAATCGCCTAAAATGTAAATGTACCGGGATGAAAATGAATTTGAACAAAATCTTTGATCATGTTTCTCTAAACCTTAGATCATATCTAAGGTCTATTCGAATTGGTGAAACTGGTAACAGACGAGGAGATTTAAATAGAAGTATTTGAACAAAACCTTAGATCATGTTTCTCTAAATTTAAAACAAAAATCGAGTGAAACAAAGCGAAAAGCTCGAGATTTAGTAAAGAGGTCTAGTTGGAGAAAAGATCTAACAGTAAACAAATACCACCATAAAAGGTGATTATGCAGAACAAGAACCCATGATAAACCAATTCAGTCTTGAGGATCTCACTTCTTCTTGGGATCACCAGCCTTTGTCTGCAGATATCAAAACAAAAAATGATTCTTAAGGATTCAACCACAACCAAAAACAAGAGTATATAACAAGTTAATAAGTAACCAGTAGTCTTACCTTCTTAACACCGCGGATTTTCTTAGCCCGGTTCTTCCTTTCCTTGATTTGTTTCCTTGATTTCTCGACCTTGGTGTCAAGTCCATTCTGCCAATTACATAGACAAGGATTTTGAGTATAACAATGCAGAAACAAACCTGAGTGGAAAATAGTAACCTAGCATGACCGTCGAGAACATATCGCATAGCTTCAAGTTACTAATGCTAGACGAACTAAAGCAGGATACAAGTTCTCCAGACAGGTCCTAGTAAAGCAACAATAGAGAATCAAAATAAGAGTGGCAAGAGCATTTACCCTGATAAGTCTGTACTTGGGTTCGAATTTCTTGGCACTCTCAACATTGTCATAGATCAAACCAAAACCGGAAGATTTGCCACCTCCAAATTGGGTTCTGAATTTGAAAACAAAGATGGAATTTGGGTCCTTGACCTCGTACAACTTTGCTAGCTTCTCCTTAAGCTCAGCCTTTAAAAGTAAAATTCAAAACCAAATCCCCCATTAAAACCCTCATAGTGTGTTCCATATTATCAGAACTCGAAAGAGATCAAGTAATAAGACAGTGACAGTAAAGAACATACCTTTGAAACATTGGCTCTTCCAGGGTGAAGAACATCAATAACCTATACGTTCAAAAATCCACCATAATCTTAGTCATTCACCCAAAATCTATATTGCAACTAAGTGTATACGCCGATTCAACACTATATGAGCTAATACTAAGGCTAAATGAAGAAATCGACACTCTCTTTGCATTAGGTCGAAAAATCTGAACTAAAAGATCAAACCCTAATAAAATTAACATATCTTGAAGAAACAATCGATGACCTAAGACACTGATGCGCATGATGGAGACAAAGAAATGGAACTAACGAATTGCTTCCTGGAGAGAAGTCTGTTGGTCATGAACTTTCGGGTTCTGATGGTGACTGCTTTTTCCGCCATTGTTGCGATTTCTCAGGGATCAAGTTTAAGATCTCTGCGCCTGCAAAAAAAGCTTGATTTCGTCGGCTCGGGTAAAGGAAGGAGAAGCGCAAAGAAAGCCGTAGCTTTTATATAGTGAATCACTTTAGGGTTTACTCTCTCTTTACTGGTTTAATTGGGCCTTAAACTATTAATTGGGCTTATTAAATCTACCGTTTACAAAATGAATACCCGTTTTGTATTTCAGGTTCGCTCTATAAAAGAAACCCAATGGGCCTGATTATTATTATTATATTTGCAAGTGTAACATTTTTTTTGTTAATAATGTGTGTAACATTTTTTGTTTTTTTCCTTCTCAATTTTAGTCATTTTCGGCACGTAATTCAAAACTGAAGTTCGTTTAATTTCAACGATTTGAGTTATAATTGATGAATGTCAACTTTAAAAAATAAATGAGTTGTGTTGAACGTACCAAATCGTTTTTATGGTCTGATTTTTGTTTAGTTGGATTCAATTGAGTCAAACTAACTCGTTTTTTTTACACTTGTAATATAAATACGCCATTTAAAATAACAAAATGCTTGTTGATCATTTTAGCTTTAATCGCTTTCTAGTTAAAAACTTTTGGGAAAGAAGTGATTATTTAAAGAAAAGAAACTAATAATAAATCAATTTTCTTGATCTTATTAGCCGCACACACACGAATGTTCAAGTGAGTTGGCTTCCATCACAAAAAGATTGCATGAACGTTGTATTCGATCCGACCATAAATTTAAGGTCGACGTAACAAATGTAACATATATATTAGGACAAAATTAACACCATAAAGAAGTATTTCATTATTGGTTTTTGGTGGAGACCCCTCTTGCTTTATATGCGTAATAAGGGATCTTATATAAAATAATGTGAAGAATTAGAGAGTCAAATATCGAAGGATTTTCTCTAATTTTAATCACAGTGACGTTACAACATTATATAATATAAGAGAAGAATCAGACTTTCCCAAACTACTACAATTACACTTAATTCACAACCTAATACCCAGGAAAGTGAATGGTAGAATAGCATAACTTATGGGATACAATTATATATAATGAATTGATATCCCATTA